AGAAATTCCAAAAGACCTCTGTCGACTGCAAGTGGAAAACATTTTGTTTAAAAAATTTCGAATTCTTACATTTTTTCAAAATTATTGATTTTGTAAGTCATATATCTCGAAGGCAGAGCAATGAAGCAAAATATTTTTTTTACCAATCGATAGCTTGTGAAGTTCCCGACAAATAATGTCTTGGGAGTTTTTCAGTCTTATGCTTCCTTTATTTTCTGTGATCGTTCTACAAATGGGTCAGATATGACCCACTGGGGGGTAAAGGGTTAACATAAACATCGATATTCTCATTCGAAGATTTTCCACAGTAGACTAGAGTCTGTCGAGTCCAAAATTTTCAAACCCAGAACCAATCCAACGCGCTCTACAGCCACACTAGTATTAATCTTTGTGTTAAATCTTATAAATAATCATGAGTCACTAAATAAATATAAAATAAAACTGATAATACCTGTCCAAGAATACTTTCATATTTTTCATAGCAAGCAGATATTTCTTTGAATTTTTGTAGTTCAGCTTTTTCAAGCATAACCGATGAAGGACGATGATTATTTCCATAACTACTTGGGGTTTGAGCATTATAAATATCTTCGATGTTAAAGTTGAAATCCTTAGAAACAAAAAAAAAAAAAGGAATAAAACAAAACTTTTCTTCAACTCAGTTTAATCACTTACAGAACATGAACGTGAATAATTCTTTACACAGCAAACGTAATAAAAAGATGCAGTTCAAACAAAACAAGACTTTCATGCAACTAGAAAAATACTTACAGGTGATGGACTATTCAAACTAGCTGATGTTGATAATAATGGTAATCTGGTTTTTTTCATTGATGATGATAATGGCAAATTTTCATCACTATGTGTCGTCATAAATAATGCAGGTTGTGGTAATGATAAACTATGATCAAGTGTGTGAGCAGTAGCAGCTGTAATCGATGATGTTTCAGAAACATAACCGTCTGATTCATCTTCTGATATTGACGATTGTGAACGAAGTCGTCGAAATAATGAACCAAATTTTGAAAGACCATTTAATGGTTCTTCAGAACCACGACATGCTGTTTGAGCTGGAAGATTTGATGCATAGGATGGACTTGATGCATGTTGTTGTATATGACGATCACGTTCACCAGGTGATAAATCAAATGATGTTAAATTAAGACGTGCACATATTGGATTACATTCATGCGTAGAAAAAAATAATGCCATACCACGAATACCAAGATTACCTTCTATAAAAATTTATAAATAGATTAAATTCAAAAGAAAAACTAAAATTTCTAACCGCCATATTCAAAACCAAGACTTGTATGAATTTGTGGATCAGTATATAAATCACCAACACCTTGAATATCAACAACAATCTGTTCATGACAAGATGCTTCAAAAGTAAAATGACTAAATGCCTTTAAATTATCAGAAAAATAAATAAATAAATAAATAAATAAACAAAAATAAATCTTTAATATTTTTTATTGAAATAGAGAAAAAAAAATAAGAAAAACCTGTGGCGTATGGCGTAGAGTATCATCACATACAAAACCACTATTTGAATTATATTTTATATAATTTCCATCCTAAAATATTAAAAAAATAAATTGATGTTTTTTTTTTTTATTTACTTATTTGTTTATCTTACAATAAATCGTTCTAAATGATAATAAGGCCGACCAGCACGATCTTTAAATTCTAATACACTCATTTGAACAATATCAACCTTGAAGAAATAAAAAGAATAATAAGAAATTTACTTATTTTTTATTTAATCAAAAATGAATACTTTTTTCGGTGGATTATGTTGATTATAATGTGTTGCCCATAATTTTGTTGTCATTTGCATCATAACATCATCAAAATATCGTTCCACTGGTACATTATCAGTATATCGTTTAGCGATATAATTACTTGAATGATCCCAATCTTGATGAGTTGAAAAAACTGAGAGTTTTTTTCTAAATCAAATTTTTTTATTGTTTATATACTTTAATTCATTAACAAAAAAAAAATGAATAAACTTACAATCGAAAACATTCTCTCATACTACCATGTGCAAATGGTTTTGATTCAATTTTAACTGTAATTTGACTTTCATGCCATGTACGTTTAATTGGATCAAATTCATGACGTGTAACGATTTCTTCTGGATAACGATCAATTTTAAAATCCTGCCTAAAAAAACAAAAATAAGAAAAACAATATACTTATACAAAAAATCAATAGAACAAGATTTACCATGGATCTTTAAGTTGAACAACTCTTTTGACTGCATCTCTCCAACGAACAAGAGTACTCGCTTTTGAACGATGACGTAAACGATGTTTAGCACGAAAATTAGACATACCAACAGTTAATTCATTTGTACGTTTTTCACTAATTGATTGAAGATGATTAACAAAATTAAATGGCCCATCACCATCCGTTATAGACAACATATGTTCCCATTCATCATCAGCAGTACTTATTGATGAAGGTGCACGTTCACGTTTTTTAGTTCGTTCACCATCAGCAGGAAGATGAATACCTTCATCAGTTGATGGAGATATTTCATCAAGTTTTTCTTTTGAAGAACTTTCATCATCTAATGCTCCAAATATAAGGTCATCATCTTCTTCTTCATTTTGTTTTTCTTTGTGTTTGACATGTTCTTGTTCATAATAACGATTTGTATCATCTTCACGAATTGATCTTGGTACGTTTAATATAGGCGCCATATAAAACATCTTTTGTGTCATGGTTCAATGATAAATACTCGTTCATTGAATGAATGCGAACAAATATCGACTGACGTTTGCCAATCGTATGAGTTGAATATTGGCCTGTTTTGATGTTATATTTGCACTGATAAAAAGTGCGATTGATTTCTTTTTTATTTGTCTATGGCTGTGTTAAAGGTATAAACCGTTATCTAGAAAGAAAAACACAAAAAATTTGTGTTTGCTGTAATCGAGCAGTATTTCTGAGTACCCAATTGACCCTCTTTTTATCGTCATGTGCTTGAGGCTTTTATTTTAAGTCGCTTTTGTAACCGTTTCCCTTTAGAGGGGAAAGAGAACCTGGGAATGGATAGATGTCTCGACCAATATTATGTGATCATGGTCAAGGATTGTATCGTAGTATTTGACTTGACGATTTATTCATCCATTCAGCGTGTTGAAATGACTCATTCATTCGTCCATCTCTGCTTACCCGAAAAAGCACAATGAAAAATGTGAATCAATAGCAAATCTTCACGGATTGGTGCTTGCATTTTTGACATCAGCCCGATATAAGTTTGATCACANGATTTATTCATCCATTCAGCGTGTTGAAATGACTCATTCATTCGTCCATCTCTGCCACCTATGTATATGCATTGTGAATTTGACATAAATAATCAATTTTATTCATATAGAAAGTGATGCATAATGAAAAAATGCAATCTATCGAACAATAAAGTAGGCATCGTCTTTAGAAAATTTAATAAAATTATTTGAATATATTATATTGAGTTTTTATTAATCCAATTTAATCATAGAATAAGAAAGGATAGATTTAATTGTTGGACTATAAATTGGTAATACTTATGGATCAATTGGTTTTTTTCCGAGTTACCATTTGACGAAACAATTATTTTGGCTGGTTTTTTTTCTTAATTGAAGAGGTAACATATTTAATGCATCAATGGAATGATGTCTACCAGTAAAATAATTTATTTTCATAAATCTTAAAATAAATGCATCACATCGTAAGGTTATCAGACTATTATTCTTTTAGCAAGTGCTCCACAGTGAATATGAGACTATATTAAAGATAATGTTTCCCGGTTANAAGATTTGCGTCTCGAAGCAAATACTTACAGGTATTAGATTTTTAAATTCATTGTTTATTAAAATCATTTCTAATTTTTAAGACAACTTTCTCTTGCTCAAGCTAATCTTGATTATATTATAAAAACACCTGAAAATGTTAAAAAAGCTGATGAATTAATGGGACAAGAAAAACTTTTACAAGCTCATCAACTTATAATGGAAATTGAAAATTCTCGAAATTATCTTTTATTTGAATTACATAAAGTACAAGAAAAAGATTCACAACCTGATGATATACAATTAATTACAAATTATTTTGCTGATTATGAAAGACTTGTGGCACATTTACGACAATTAATTGCAGTTCGAATTTCACGTTGGTATGATTGTGCAATAAGTGCACCAGAAAAACTTGTTACTGGATTAAGAATTATTGAACGAGAAGAACAGTAATAATAGAACTATTTGTTTTTTTTTTGTTATTTGAAATTTGGAAAATATATGTCATTTTAGAGTTGATCGATTTTGGATGGATAAAAGAGAATTAACTGGATTTAGTCCACCTGATCGACCAAGACAATGGAAAAAACTTTGTTTTGAATTGTTAAGAAAAAGTGTTAAAGATCGGTAAAAAAAAAAATTTGCTTTATTGTTTTTTTGTTAAATGAAATTATTCTTTTTGTTTTTGTTTAGTATTGAGGGAAATCAATTAGAAACACGAGAGGAACATAAATATTGGTTAACACGTCATTTAGAAATGTGTCGACAAATAATTTTAAGAGATTTTCGAGTTATTACAGTAAGAATTTTACAAATAAAAATAAAAAAATAATATTAAGAGTATTTTTATTCGATTAGAAAACTTGCCTTCGTTGTTTTCCAAAACAATATGATATTGTCAATCGTTTTCTTGATTACTATCATAATTGTCTTAAAGAACATTTAATTGAAATATGTGATCCAAAACGACGTACTGAAGGTGATACATTGACAACAGCTGAAGTTTATACTATAGTGACATTTGTTCGTGATTATCAGTAAGAATCGATTTCAATAAAAAGAAAAATTTAATATTCATTTTATTTTCATTTTAAAAGAGGTGCTGAATGTTTGGGTCATCCTGAATTGAAATTAGATCTTAGTCAATTATCTCCATTACTTGAAAAAGATATGCTTGCTGCTGTAACTGATGTATTTATCAATGAAAGAAAGCAAAAATTTAGTGAATGGATACCAAATATTATATCATCGGAAGTCAAGGTTTGTTTGTGTTCGATATCTTTAAGAGATTCGCTTATAAAGGAACCACTCAAATTGATATCAGCCATTTAAGCTCACATTGCATTTACAAGGATGCCTTTTTGAGACTAACAAAAGTGTATAATGGTTCGTCCTTATGAACCTTTACAGAGTTCAGTTGTGACTTTTTTAGTTAAGTTTCGTTCCAGCTTTAAATAAATATTGAAAAATTAAAAAAACAATTCAGATGTGGACTATTGCCTATGCGTACTTTGAAGAACCCGTAGAATATCTTGAAAATTTCAGTCACGAAAAAATATTCTTTTGTTGATATATTAAATTTTCAAGTAAACTCGATTTTTGTATCATGTCTGTAGCAAGGAAATGTTTCTTTTTGGACATTCGGTACCTCAACAAAAGAATATTCTTTTCAGCTAAAATTTTTAGTATGTTCTAAGAGTCTTTCGACTTATCTATGAGCAGAATTGTATGTCGAAATTTTCTCTTACGATTTTTCAGCTTATGCTTAAAGATAAGTCGAAAGTTTAGTAAAATATAGTCTCAATGTGAGCGTCAACGACCGGTATCAGTTCCAGTAGTTCATTTGTTACATCGAATGAAAAGCATTGAACATATGTTTCGAATCTGAGAGAATTACTAGTTTTCTATTACATAATTATCACAATTTTATAAAAGAGATAATATGATATTTATTAGAATAGATTATATTGAAAACGTCACACGCTAAAAAATGTTCGCGATGATTAGTTATTTTCAATTAGACAAGGAAAAATAATGCTATTAGTCATAAATGACATCTATAGAAAAGAAATTTCTTTATTCTTAGATATTTTAAAACTTTAATTCGAACGTTCATTATGATGTCTTACAGTATTGTGAAGACAATAAAATAACGACTAGTTTTCCAATCATAATTCTTCATTTTATTTTACAACAATGATTTGCTATTCATCAAATATTTGTCAACTTTCTTTTCAATTTTATCTTTTGCTTTTTTGTGTAATTCCTCCTTTGCTTGTCAAGTATTCATATGGTCTACAGGATGTATCAAACGTTTGCTGTGGAAAAAAGCACGAATATCATTTAGTTAGTTTAAGTGTGTAAATTAGTTTCCCAAGGTTATGTTAGTATGTTTTGTTGAGGTTTTATTCTATTTATTTTCTGATAAATTTGAATGTCCACTGGCATTCGAATACAAATAGTTTTATCAATGACTCAAATTTGAGCCATTTATCATTTTTAAACGAAACATGTAATTCGAATTTAACATGCAAATATCAAATGTAGACTGTGTTCGAGATACTTTTCAATGTTTTTTGTGAAACTAACGCAGTAGTAAATTTACAAATTTTTGAAAAATCTTAAAAAATTACAAAAGAAAAAATTGACCAAGTTCATGATGTTTATAAAAATGAGCCACTATCAAATATTTGATCTGTTGCAACAGTCTGTTTCATGTCGCGAATAACAGCACACCGAATAATGACTGAATTTCTTCGAAGTAATTCATCCAGAACATAATTTGTTGAATAACTTGACGAAAGAGATTCACAAGATCGAATTGAAGCTGTCTAAGTTGTATACTAATATTAAAGGACATTAATCGTTTCTTAACAAGCCATGTATTAAGACTTAGATCAATTTCAAATGAGAATAAATAACGAAAAGATATTAATTCGAAAATAAACTATTTTCTGTATGTTTTCAAATATTTGAAACGATAGTAATGATTTTGAATATTTGTTGTAAAGCAAATTATATGAAATCATATGTCAACGAACATACTATAGCATTGGAAACTATATACATATATCGCTTGAGCTATTTAAAAGATATCTACCTTCTTTTTCTTCACAGTGAACTTTTGGAACACTCTGTACTTATTAAAAATAGGTACTATTATCAATTTTAACCCTCTAGCTAAGGGACCAATATATATATACAAGTTAAGCTTTTAGGCAACTTATAATTTTGACAATCTTTTCTTTTTCTGTTATGATTTGAGTATAACAGCAACACTATATGATATCACTATACATGTATATGAACTGAAAAACAAAGAACTATCGATGTAGGAGTCTGACAATTCATAGGCTTTCTATATCCAAAATTATTCAAAACTCTGCTAAACCAAACAGAAATTAGAATCTTAGAAAAATTGTCATTTGAGCAAGTTGCCATTACTTCTGAAACTCTAATCTTATTGGAGACTAGACGCTCAATGATTTTTAGTTGTATATTATCCTATAGAACCACAGTTATTCATGACGCTACGCGAAGGATTATGCAAGATCAAGGATAACTATACTCTATTCTACAGATGTTGAATTTGACGGTGATAATTGAAACCTAACACAATCTACTGTTTTCTTCTGGCATGTATACTCGATGTCAGGCTTCTATGAACGAAAACACATTTTTTTTATCATCCTTGCAAAAATTCTGTAATACATAGATTAAAGTATTTTACATCTTTTTTTTTTGGATGATTTTTCTAGGATTGGTATGCATTAAAAGAAGTTGAATTAACATCTGAACATTATTATGCTACAACAATGCCACGTATGTTAATAAATATGATTATAGAAACACTTGATATGTCTAAACAAATGTCTGATGAAACATGTCAATTAATTCTTGGTATGATATTACAGAAAATAAATGAATTTCATGATTTATATGTTAATGAAATAAACAATTATTCTAAACGATATTTTGCTGATCGACAATCATTTAAAGAAAATTTTACAAAACAAATGGTAGCAAATGCAAATAATTGTGAATCAATACCAAATTTTGTACTTATTGTACGAAAAAAATATGATCGCGATGATCTTGATGATTTATCACGTTCATCACAACAACAACTTGATCGTTATGAAAGTATGGGAAAAAAATTTGAACGTGCAGCTGAATATTGTTGTAATAAAATATTAGAAGAAATTGAAATGGATACAGTAAAATTTCTTAAACTACTTTTTACACGTGATTGGTTTGGTCCAACAGCTAAACAATGTTGTGGTACAATTATTGAAACATCACGTGATTATTGGAGTTCAGAATTAACACATTTAAAAAAACCCTTATTAGCTTATACTTTTTATACATGGCATAAACGGATAATAGCTCATTATTTACGAAACTTATTTTCACGTAATACATCTATTAAATTTGCTACGCCAACTGAACGACGTACATGTGCGGATCAATTACGTCGAGAATCATCTCAACTTGATAAAGAATTTCAATCATGGGATGGTACATCAGCTGAAAATGCAACTGAATATCATTTTAATATATTAAGTAATATAGCTGATGTACTTGAACAAACAGATTTAGATTCTATTGTACTTGAAATAGCAACATTAGCAAAAAAATATCCAAGTTTAAATATGGATCAAGTTACACAAGTTTTATTATTACGTGGAGATTTAACAAAACAAGAAGCAAAAGATAAAGCTGATGCTGCATTAGCAAATATGCCACGTGTTAATCAAGGTATTCTATTTGAAATTATGGAAATTGTTAATCAAATAAATTGATATTAGATATTGAATATTAAGAAAAGAAAAATTCTTAATTTTTATTCTATTTATTCATCTATCTTATTTATGTAGATATTTATCTGCTTTTCTTCTTTTTTTTTTTTTTTCTTCTTTCTGTTATCAACGATGATTATTTCAATTGATTTCTAACAAATAAATAAATATATACACAAAAATTTTTAGAATTAAATCAATATCAATAAATTTTCTCCTAAAACACATATTAGTACTTTTACAGGGTGTCTCGAAAGTTCATTCGGAAAGTTTACATGAATAATTCTGAATCAACTTCTTTTGTGAATGATATTATGTTAGATTTTTTTTTTCAAAGTTTTGTTCTGTATATTATCAGAAAAATGTCTGTGCTTGTAAATATAAGCATAGTGGTAGTTTTGATTATGATCAAATTTGAGTAACCTATCGTTATACGAGAAAAAATTCAATTAGAATTTGACATACCAACATTAGACATGGACTGTATTAGAAATATTTTTACGCAATTATTATAGTACTAAAGGAACAAAAAATATGAAAGATTTTCAAAAATTACAGAAGAGAAAATTGATGCATTTATGACTGTATATCTTTTAATGAAATGGTATAATATGTCCAACAAGATCTGATTGAAACGATACAAGAAATTATAAATAGAACTACAAAAAAAGAAATATCTCCGCATCGGTTCAATCAAATAGATTGATTTGTTTTTGTTAATGGTAGATGTTTATTTCAAGTTTTCTTTTTCATACAAATAAAGTAAGCACATACTACTATTAAGTTTTATTGTTAATGTCATGAAAGCAACGTCATCTGTTATCAAGTAAGAAAAATACATATGAAGCGTTTCATAGATAATATTCAGCTGTCATCGGAGGAAATAATAAAAACAAAGAAAAATAAATTTTATGAATGATACTAATTGTATTGATGTACTTCGAGGAAATTTTTAGAACTAATTAGTTTAAAAGCCAAAGATTACAAACTATCGAATTTTCAAACATGGAACATTGATTTTTACAAGAAAGTTACTTTTTGGTGTTATAAATGCTGCAATTATGCATTTTACTCATGTAACATGATTTTCAACTAACTACGTAGTTTTTGAAAATTTGTCCTGTGTGTATCAATAAAGTGTCATTTGTCAAATTCGTTTTGAATTCTTCTTCTTATTCTTTTATGTGACAATTGAGAATTATCTATGAAACTCTTCATATCTATTTTTCGTATTTGACAATAGGTGAGATGTTTTTAGTGAAGTCAAAAGTATAACTTGACAGTACTATTTGTTTATACTATCCCTATGAAAAAAAAACTTTAAATAAGCTTCTATCACTAATCAACAAAATCAGTCCATTTTCGCTAACCGAAGCGGAGATATTTTCAATTTTTTATTGTAGTACCATTTATGTCTCACCATGTGATATCACTTTAATATTAATATTAGAAAATATCACCGATAGGATGAATTCGTTGTTGCTTTCGGACGAAATTTCTTTTCATTTAAAGATTTTATTGATAAATATCATATGAAAACTTATGTGTGTAAAAACATCTGTAAAGATTTGATTGAATTCAAAATAAGAATCAATATTGGAAAAAAATTAATTCGAAACAGAAAACTTTCCGTAGTATTTTTTTAAAGATTTCAAAAACAATGGTTTTAAGTATTTCAGTTAACAAAGACAGCTGAGTCGCTTGAATTGTATAAGAGATAGTCATGTAAACTTTCTAGATGGACTTATCGGACACTTTGTATTTATCAACAAATATCTGTACGAATTGTTCAATACGAATAGATTTCATTTATCAAACGAGAAAATATAAATCACGTTTTATATGAGAATATTGAACAGCGTAAAAATATTAATTTCGCAGATTAATTTGGTTTGTCATCACCTATACATGAGCAAGTCAAGGTCAAATTATCACAAATACTTTTTATGACCTTGATAAGAATGAAAGTGACTGAAACTTAGGAAAATGATTGCTATTCTTCGACTGCTGCTTGTTTTATTTTTTTTTCGTATGATTATTCTCTCGAATGTTCAAATTCTATCTATATGAAAAAGAAATACTTCGATTACTGTACAATTCTTCAATGATTTAATGAATTTCATAGGACAATATTTAAATGCTTATTTATCAGTTATTTATTAGTTAATAAAAAAAGATTTAGTTTGTATAATTACTTTCGATAAACGAGGATCAAATAACTGTTTAAAAAAAGAAGCGTCTTTATCTCAGAAGAATCATGTTTTTGAAATAACATATTCCATATTTGATTGAAATAGAAATCGATTCCCTCTGTATTCTTTCACATTGTTTCCTTATCTGCCCTTTAAAACCCTCTTGTCCTTGTTTATTTAAATCATTTTTCACACAATATCTTAGTTGAAAAATGATAATGCTATTTTTATCAAGTATTAAATTACAGTGTACGTAATGCTATCCGTTTTATGCTCAGCTACTGTGATGATCTTGAGTGCAATTCAATATACTAAATATAAACTTCACAAAAAGAAAAACAAAAAAAAAAAATCAATCTTCTTTGTCGATTAAAAAAAAGCAAGAGAACCAAATAAAAAATATACGAAAAAATAATTTTGATCATTCTCTTTTGAACAAATGTAATTGAATCAATATGAATGAACTTTAAAAGTCTCATGCTATACGTAAATTGTTAATTGTCATCATATTTTATCATAATCAATGACCTCATCCTAAAACATTTTCATCATCTCTTATCAGACAATAATAAAAATGAAACAAAATAAAAGTCGCAATGCATCACATATTCACAATAATATAAAATGTTCTTTCAATGGTTTATTTTTATTCTTTGTCTATTGATTACATTTATTATTCCAATAAAATCAATTGAAAATTGTAATATTAATTATGATCGTTATAAGAGAAGTTATGGTTATTCATTAACCTATCATTGTTCAAATCTTCATTCACTTTCAAATGATCTTTTACAAACAAAAGATATTTTAGAAAAAAAATTACCATTAAAAATTACTAACAGTTCAAATCTTCATATTCATGCAGAAATATGTGGTCAACATCAACAACAATATTTATTAGGTTTATTAATTGAGTCATCAAATATTCATTCAATAGGTTCACGAGCATTTTCTTGTCGTACATTACGTGCTATTTCAATAAGTAATACACAATTTTCAGTAACAATTTTACCTGATGATATATTTCTTAATGCTTATCAATTACAAACTATTCGTTTTGTACATACTAATATAAAACGTTTACCATCATCATTAGAAAATTTATCTAATTTAACTGAATTAATACTTGATGATATGCATTCACTTATTGATTATCCATCAATAGAATATTTAAGTAATTTACGTTATTTACATATATTTACGAGTTTAAATTATTTTCCACTTAACTATGTGGATAATTTAAATCGTTTATCACATATACAAGTTGTTCATTTCGGTAGTCGAACAATAAATATATTTCCAAAAGAATTATTTCATTTAAATGGTTATCAATTAACTGATGTAAGTCTCTACTCAGAAAACATAACATGTCGAACATGTAAAAGTGATTGGTTTAAAACAATTGCTAAAACTTTAATGATTTATGGTTGGGCTAATCGTACAAAAGAACAATTCCGAAATAAAAATTTTCATTTAATTACAAAAACAACGTAAGTTTTTATTTCAATCCAATTATATTTTTTAAATAAGATAAAATTATTTTAGACAATTCTATAAATTAGATATAATTGCATATTGTGGTGATATGCGGTTAGGTGAAGAACCATTAATGGTACATAACGCACCATTATGTTGCAACAAAGGCTATTTTCAATGTTCAACTAAACGATCTACATGTCAAAGATTGAGTAGTACATTTTCACGTTGTAAATGTTTAAATGGTTATTTTGAAGATAGTTATGGTGACTGTATTTCAATTTAAAGATAAAAAAAAAAGCTTTTTTCTGAACACTACAAAAGAATAAAAAGAATAAATAAAGTTAATGATGACGATTTTAACTCTTTTGATGTTTTTTGCCACCGTGATGTTTCTTATGTTTACCTTTGCCATCCTTCTTGTGTTGATCTTTACCACCTTTTCCATGTTTATGTTTTCCATCCTTGTGACCTGATGATGAGCTACGGCCACTTGAACTATCACGATTAGGTGATACTGATGGATTTTTGGAAGGAGATCTGCTATCATGGCCACCAGTTGGCTGATTTGGTGGTAAACGACCAGGTGGACCAGCAGGTTGAGGACTTATTTCTTTTTTTCCACCATCTTTTTTTTTATTGGAACTACCGTTGACTTGCTCTATATAATAGATACAATAGTAATATATAAAGTGTATGAAAAAGATCTTACGAAAAGCAAATGCAAAGATCAACACTAAAGCAAGTGTATAAAACCAAAGTAATCGCATTGTTTCGTTTGATACTGTATGAATGTCAGTTAAAACACAATGATGAAACAAAATGATTCGAGTAAGAGATTAAATATCTTCAGTTTATTTAGAAAAGGGTGAGAGGGAGAGAGAGAGAAAAAAGTGGGGAATAGAAAAGATAAAGGCACACATACTACATACACACAAAGGAAAGTTATTTTATCAGTAGTCAATTGGCAAGGTCAAAAATGCTTGGCTTTTACGTGACAATGACACTACGATAAATTTTTCGATTATTTTGAATTTTTTCTTCATTTTGTCGTATAGGTGGAAATAAACTTTGTTTCACTGGTTGTTTTGTACGTTTTTGTTGTTCAAGATTAATTATAGTTGTTTCTTGAGCAGTTCGTATTTGTTCTTGACTTTTAATATATTGTTGGGCTTCATTTTGGATATTTTTTAATAAACGTCTATACAAATAGAAACGAATATGTTTGAGCAAAACAGAAAAAAAAGAATTAATGGACTTACGTTATAATAATATTTTTCTTTTTTAAAAGATTTTCATATGGATCACATTTTTGTGTTGATGGCAAATTATTCACATTATTCACCTTAAGATAAGAATATAGAGAAGAAAAAAAAATTGAATTACAATTATTCCTTTTATTATTTTTACTTTTAATCTAGCACCAACTTTAAATTTAAGTTCAACAAGGTCAGTCGAAAATTTCATATAAATTTTTTCTTGTGAACATATTTTTATAACAATTTCATTATTTAAATGAAATAATATTGGTTGAAATGGTGGTGCATGCACATGCGGTTCGAAAGATGTATTCACTTTGGTCCACCAATTCCAACGGCGTCGTCTACCGCCATCAAAATTTAATTCTACACCTTCAAGTGCTGTCAATTGCAATCTATAAATTAAAAAAAAAGAAATATGAACAAATTTTTCATGAAAGTTTTGTATTATGAAATCTATCTGTTATGTAAATGCCTTACTCTTCGAATATAACGAATAGTGTAAAAGTTCTGTATTAATTCTTTTTGTCAACATGACCGCACAACAAATCATGATGGAGATTTGATTGTTTTATTGTTAGAAAGAACAATATCTCAACTATAAAGATGTGTAAAAATATTTTATTTAAAATACTAGATCTATGACGGTTCTATATCAGTTTCGATCTTGAAAAATGTTCTAACAGTGCTTTGAAAGGAACTGATCTGTGCCAACAGTTCTTTGATAAGAACTGATCTGTGTCAACAGTGCTCTGATAAGAACTCATATGTGTCAACAGTTATCTGATAAGAACTCATCTGTGTCAACATCTTTTGATAGAAGCTAATCTATGTCACCAGTTCATTAAAAGGAACTGGTGCTACTAGACAATTTATTTTAATCGACCAATTGGATCTGTAATTGCTCCATTCCGGACCATGTTTCTGAACTGAGTAAATGTAATGGAATAAAGCTAATCGAAACATGATGCTAGGATAGAAGGGTTTGATTCTCAAAAAACTAATTACGCACTGAAAAGTTTTAAGAACATGTTTCACGGAAAAGATCTTCGTACACTTTGGGAGTTTAAAATAAAACTTTCATCTACTAAGAAATTACGGTTTATTTTCTGTTTTTTGATGGTTTTTGTAGCGTTACGAGAGGAACATTCAATAGGTAAAAATAAAGTATTCAAGTTATCAGTTGAGTACGAAATCATCATTTTTCTAATGTCCTTTCATAGCCTAATAAGTAATTTTGAAATAAGATTTTTTTTCCAGAAATACCATCCTTTATATTTAATTAGAGTTTAGTGAGCCCTCTTCAAAAGTACATTATATAAAACAGAATATTAGACATTGTAAGAAAAACTTCATTGAACATTATAGACAAAAAAAAGTCAAGCTTTTAATAAAACTATTTCCTATGGAATCTGTGGTTTTGTAACTTCAATATTTTGAAACAATTATAAAGTTCGTATCACTTTAGTTATATTCACATGTAACGTACTTAAAAAATTCGAAAAGCTGAGTACAAGAAAAATCAATCAAATGGCATTCTATCATCACTGATTTAGTATGCAGTTGCAAGGTATTTTTCCAGTCAAATATGTTCTTAAAACTTTTCAACCTTTGGTAAGTGTTTTGAACAAAATTTTGTAATTGAGACTATGCTCTTTCTAATAAGAAAGCTATCAAGTATCCACGCCGAGTTTTTGTCATATTATAATAAGAACAAAATCAATTCAGCACTTTTGCATCATTGGTTATATCGAATAGAGGACACCTTCAATTTTCTTCATACTAATTTCAATATTCATTAATGACAACAATTAAATTTCATACCTTAAATCTCCATTTGTAAAATTACAATAACCATTTCCAAAAGGATCAAATTGTGCTAATTGTTTTGCTGAAAGTGTTGGATCATCAGTAAATGCAGTATATAAAAGCATAGCACGAGCAACTTCTGAGATACTAATAGCCAAGTTACCCGATGGATAACTTAAGAAAGGAAAGAAAATGGTTTGAAAAAAATTTCAAATATTATAATTTACTAAACACAGCCTGTTCCATTTGGAAAAAGAATAGCTGCTTTTGATCCGTCTTTATAAAATCTTTGAATTAATGGTCTTTCATATTTCTATTGATAACGAAAAGAAAAACTATATATATATATTATATCAATAATGAATTCATATTTCATTACTTTAAGTATTGAAGACGAAAGATCTCTGGGTACAAGTATATGTTCTTCATCTTCAGAATCATCATCCGAACTTATTTCAAAATCAGGTGGCTTTTGTAATGTCCAACCTTCTTCAACAAATTTTAAATTCGATAATTGATATGTCAGAGTTCTCATTTTTGCTGCCACTATATTTAGAACAAAAAGAAGTTTTTTTTACTTTTCTTACTATCATATAATATAATATTATTAACGTTAATTACAAATACATAAAGCTACAAATACACACAGAATAACGATTAATAAACAAATATTAGTGGAAAAAGTACACTTACTAGCCGAGCCCGGCTCGACAGTACTCGGCGATGGTGAACTACTAGTCACTGATGAAACACCACGATATGAATTTAATTGTTGTGCTTTTCCTGTATGTACATATATAAAATACAGAATCCTGTCTTTTTCCGACTATGTCTAATTAAACATATATCTCGGAAAAATGGATTCACCTAATAGACAGGGAAAAATAGGGATCAAGCAAAAGCTGCACACACAATAGAAAGCTTTAATGTAATTATTTTTACGATTATTATTATTATTATTATTATTATTATTATTATACTTTCAGTTGCATCAATCGATGTTCCTCCATCATTCTGTCTGTTTGTGGCTGTGATTGTATTATGTTTTCGTGTTGTATTGTTATGTGCTTGACGTCCTGCACAAGTGTATGTATACATCAATTGCACACAATAGTGAATGTGTATATAGGAATGAAAGCTACTGTGTAGATAATGTGATAGTTGTCAAAAAGAAAAATATTCAAACAATATTTAGATATATACAGTCATCCTGAATCATCTTTGCTGCTGCACGTCTGTCCATTATTTTATGTGGTCCTTGACTTAAATCAGTACTTCCACCTGATTCTGATAGGATTTAATTGATTAAAAAAAGACCAGAAAAAAAAACAAAATTGAATAATTTACATACGTAAATCACTAGATTTTGATTGTGCGGCATGTGCTAATTTTTGGGCTTGCTCTTCAAGTCGTTTTTGTTCAGCTATATGACGTTCCCAAACTCTGATATATATATATATGGTATGATAATATGATAATATTCTATTTCGTTTTGACAAACCTTGTTTTGGCTCGTTCTTCAGCTAATTGTCGAGCTCGTCGACTACGAACTTTAGCATGTGGTTGTATATCAATTTGTTTTGAATCAAGTTTTTGATTTTCTTCTCTTTGCATTTCAAGTACAGCTTCAACAAATTCACGATACTCACTACAACAAAATAACTAAAACCAAAAAGGAACCAAAAATGATAAGATATATTTATTTGGTAAATTCATACTTGACTTGGTGCAAACTTTTCTTGTTCAATAATTGTTGGCCATTTAAGTATTGGTTCACCACAAAATTCACATGGAACATGTCCATGAATATGTACACCTAATTCACGTAATTCAGTTTCAATGGCTTGTTCATGTGTTCGAGGTATATCAAATGATTTTTGTTTCGATTCAGGATTATACTGTGATGAAAATAATTCATTCTAGTCTTTCAAAAAGAAGAAAAATAAATTTAAAAAACGTTAATTGAACCTGTAAAATAGGTGGTGGTCCAACAGATGTTAAAATTGGCAATTCAGGTAATGAACTAACAGTCGATTCAGCTTGCTCAGGTGTCTTTAGAAGAAAAAAGAAAATTCTTTTTAAACTGTTTATTAATTTCAATTACCTCTGAAACTTTTGGAATTGGTACTTCTGGTTCAGCAATAACTTCTTGTTCTAATTCTTCACGTTCTTCTTCAACAGGTACAGGTTCGGGTTTTTCTTCACGAACTAATTATTATAGAGTACAAACATTTAATTTGTTTTTCTTTTTCTTTTTCGTTAATATTAATACAAACACATACTTCGATATTGTTCAAGCATTTCCATATCTTTCCATGTCCATTCTGTTTGGACACTTATTCTTAAAAATGACAAATATTATTCTAGTTTTATTTCTTTGACTTATTCTCATACGTAGTGGATTGTTTAGGTGTCTTTTTCTGACGCGATGGAATAGAGCTTTGAGTTTTTCGTCTTTTAGATACCACTGGTGATTTTCCTGTTGTTGATGTGAGATTAAAAACTTCTTTTTGTTCATCACTTGATATACCTAATGCTGAACCTTTTATGTAAGATAAAACCAACAATATTTCTTTTATAATTTTTTTAAAATTTTTATGTAGAGCAAACCAGATTGTTGCTGCTGTTTGGATGCAGGTGTAGATGATGTTTCATCATCTGTACCATTCAGTGGATTGGCTATATATAAATAAAAATAGAGTAAGAAGACATATTGTTATTTTCATTTTCTATTTAAAATTCAAATCGATCCCTAAGGGAAAAAGAGAACGAAAATCGATAGTCGATCTCTCGTCCTTCCAACAATATTTGTAGTCATGCTTTTTAAGTCATTGACAGAAAGCGGGAGAGAGAGAGAGAGAGAGAGAGAGAAAGATAGAGAAAGAGAAACAGAAAGACGGAATAATGCAAAGTGCATAGAAGCCATCGAGCAAAAATATAGAAAAAAAAATGACGATCGATAGCTTTCATGCTGCTTCTAAGTCGTTGCAATCAAACAAGAGAGTAAATTGTTGAATTTTGCAAACGGTTGTCCGCACAACAAAAAGAAAAATATAGACAAAAGAAATACGATAAATGAGACGATGACTATTTATATGGTGAATTATTGAAAGAGAAAAAAAAACGAAATAAAGGGTATTTATACATCAATATTACGAATAAAAATCATTGAAAATGGGTCACTACGGTAAACATATAATCGATCCTGAGACCGGCTTATGTGAAATATGTGATAAAGATGCTATTCATGAGATTCGTACAGGTCAACAACCAGGAAAACAAGTTTATTATTCAAACCACAATGATGGTTTTACTTATCGTTCAAATAATGATGAAAGTCCTTATATTCAAGTAAATCAATATATATCTAATATGTTTTTATCCTTCTCTCGCTCTCTTTAATGCTATTATAGGATCGATATGACGATGAAATAGATGATGAACCGACACCACGTGTTATCCGTAAATCTGTTCTTCCTGCACCAGCAGGTCGACCACGTCGAGTTATTCGTGAAGAACCAATTGAAAAACCAATTCTTATTCGAAGAAGAGCTGTTCGACATAATCCTGGACCACCAGAAGAAGTTATTATTCGTCGTTCATCACCTCGTCACAAAACATACTATTATGTGGATAAAGAAGGTCAAATGTTACCTCAAAACTACACTCCACCAGTAGAACCTCCTCGACGATATGTTGTTCAAGGTACGCATCCACCACCAGCGCGTACAATTCGTGTTGCACGTCGACATGCTCAAACACCTCCACCACCAGCAACTGAAATAAGACATTCAGGGCCAAGACGTCTAATCAATTCTGATACAGAAATTATTGAACGACAACAGAGAGTAAGACATGATGATACGTATTTTTCTCAAGCACCATCAAGAAATGCTGAAATGTATCATATTGAAGCACAACCTATTTATGATCGTCATTCATCATTAGATTCTCCTATTCCAACAACACGCGACATGACTACTCCACCACCTAAAGTGATCTATCAAGATGATGGATATAGAAAACAACGTAAAATTGAACCTATGGAACGAAAAACTCATATTGAGCCTGAACCAACTGTTGTAAGAAGAGTTTATAAAAAATTACCACCAGGCAAATCTGTACCACCTGATGATAAATATAATTCAAATGAAAGTTTTCCACGACCTGTACGAAATAATAAAAATCATCCTCCACCAAGACAATATGTATCATCCCCACAGTTAGCAAACAGAAATAATAGAAGTCCTGTATCAACTAAAAATCCATCTATCTATTATATTCGACCAGTTGATGAATATTGATTGAAACGTTTTGACTTCTTTCTCTTTTTCTTTCTTTTGTAATTTTATATGACACTCACAAATTCCAATAAGTTTCGTATTATTATTATTACTATTATTCTTTTTTTTTTTTTTAATGAAAAATTATTTCGTCCTAAAAAGAGTTGATTTTATAAAAGAAAATAAATGTATGCATCATGGCAATATGGAGGAAAATGTTTTTCTTTTAATGTACTTCTTCAAGCACTCCATTCTTAAGTGATTAAAAAAAAGAAAATGACTACTTCTTCTTCCTTTTTGTTTTTATAAGAAGAGTCACAATGATTGCGAATATTCAAAGGTTTCTTCTAAATATCGAATGCAAATTAATATTCGTCATGATCAAAAGTAACTTGTTGAAGGAAAAAAGAAACATTTGTTTGTTGACTTGGTTAGAAAATATTTCATAAAAAAGAAACTTTTATCGATGAGCGATGATCGAACTTGAATAAGGCATGCAAGATTTTTTTTTCTTTTTCTCTTGAGAATTGAAGTTCAATAGCTTACAAAAAATATTTAACGTGGGTATCGGATGTATTTTCTTTTTGTTCAAGAACAAGAAAAGCACACACATCATCTTTCATAGTTACATACGCTCACTCCTTAGTGCACATATCTTTCTAACAAAAGTGTAATTGCCTATTTAAATGTGAATTTCAAACGAAAACAAAATTGATAGAACTATATGATTCATTCATTTCTAATTGTTAATATAAAAATATGAAACATGTTCTATACTTATTTAAAACTTAGTTTCATCACAATATGAGATACAATCTATATCAGTAACTAATGAATAATAATAACTGACCTTTTTCATGATCTGTTGTCGGTATTTGATAATCATCATTGGAATCCACTGAACCATCAATATTTTGATCGAGATCCTTGTCAGTCGCAGTCACATCGGCATCTAACGCCGACTGAGACATAGATCTAAGGATAAAATAAGTTTCTGAGAAAAGTATTGATTCTTCTGTTGTCAAACAATTGACAGAAAAGTTCTTTTTTTTTTAATCTTGTTCGTATTCGACACTATAATAATAAACAAAAGCGCATGTTGATATGTTCGTTCAAGAAACCAAACGAGATGATTAAAAATGTGAATAAATAACATTATAATAGAAAAATGAAGAAAAAAAAAAAGAAAACTAATAAGCTAACAGTGTCGATTTCTTTTCTTTCGTTTCTTTTTTTTCTGCCTTTTCATCATCGGGTCGACTCAATCAATCAATCAGCGCGTGTCGATGCACGTATAAGTTACCATTTTTGCTTGTCGATCTTTGACAACGAGACCCGCATTCATAGAACGAGAAAGCAACAACAGAGAATTTTTTTGTATGTCTGTGTATATGCTGATTGATGGCGTAACAATCCTCCAAAATTGTCGCCAGAAGCAAATTTATACCATAGTTAAAACTTTTTTTTCTATGACAAACTGCAATGTAGTATTGAAATCTTGAACAATACCTGCTGCTAAATGAACCATACTTGTTGTTTATGGTTAACATGTTTTTGTTTGTTGAAATCGTTTTTTTTTATTAGTAGAAAAACGATTTTTCAAGGTTACGTTGTTGTGTATTGATCAGTATTGTCATAATAACTATATTTTTGTTTTTAATATGAAATTGCAGTTATCAACTGATAATGGTAGTCGATGATGTTGGGAATATGTTCGTAACCTGTTGAAAGTCATACGAAATCACTTTTGATATATATTATCTTTCGGCAATATTAAATAGTTCGTTGTGACATTCATAACTATTTGTAAAAATAAATTTTAATGGATTTTTGTGTTCATATTTTTTATTCTATCTGTTGCAATGAACTATGAATCAAATGACAATTATTATTATTAAAACAATATCTTGATGGTAATTGATAATCTTTGGCAATATCTGATATTTATTTTTTTGTTTTGATTTTAATTGATGATGTTTGTGAATAACAAAAATTGATGCCGAGATCATAATTGTTCTTAAACTTAAATTGTTTCAAGTGGAAAAAAGTAAATCTCGGTCACTCTCTTAAACATACACATTCTTTCGAATAAAAGAAAAGAAGAAACGAAGAATAATGAACAAATAACAGCGAATTTTGATGTACCAGATTCAAACCGTATTACGCTTAAAAATAAACAAGAATTGTAGGAAGAAAAGAAGAGCGAAGAGAGAAAAACTCGAAACACCATTACTACCACCACCATTGGCAACATGGTGACGTGCACACATACATACATTCACATAAGTAAAAACTTTAAAAAATTGTTATTTCATTCTCTCTTGTCGTCTTAAAATATTATACACAAATTTGTCTTGTCGCGTATGTGTGTGTGCGTCTGGTACATTTTTAAATCCTAAAAACATTCTCTTAATTATTAGTCACATATTAACTCTTTTATTAATGGATATGGATGAAGTAACAGAAGCAGTTGAAGAAGTATCACAAGTAGATTTACAAGAACAATTGAATACAGCTAAAGAAGAAATTCAAAGCTTAACTCAACAACTTAATTGTCTTCTTCTATTAACAAAAAAGTAGAAAATCCTCATTATCTATCATAAACATCTCAGTATGTTTTTTGTTTTTATAGTGCCTGGCGTGGTGATGAAACAGCTACTGCTCATTTAGCTCGAGTCATTGGTTAGTTTGTTATTATATTTCATGTTTAATACATATATTTGATCATTTCAAGGCATTGACCCTGAAATTGAACGCAATACTTTTTTTGAAAAGAAAACAACAACTCGTTCTTCGGCAAAAAAAACAGTAAAGATTGTCGATGACGATGAAATTGTATCGAAAGTAAATAAATTCTTTAAAACAATCTTCGACTTAAAAAATATATTTTTTTTTTTGAAGCAAACGATAAGTCTTGCAAGCTCAACAACAAGCCAAGAAAATCTACAAGAACAAGAAGTACATGTTCAAGCGGCTGTTCGGTATGAAAAACATATCTTGATTTAATACAAGAAAAAAAAATGTATTGTTTATTTTAGAAATACATATCTTCAACCGTTTCTTAAACAAAGTCATATTGATCCAATACGAGGACAACATTCTAGACAAATTTTTAATAATATGGTACGACATCATCAAGTAATGACATTTATTATAATTTAAAAAGTAAATATTTTTGTTTTCTATTTTGTATTTTCTAGAATGAAACGCGTAAACCACCAATTATTGCAAATCGAAATTCATCAGCAAGCGTTCGACCTCGTGCAACAAAACATCTTTATCGACCAGCTTCTGCTGATCATATTGTACGTCATCTTGGTAGTCCATTGAGTCGTGCAAAGCCTTATTTTGTTTTTGCTGGAAAAGAATTTTTTCAACGAACAACTAATTATTCACCATTATATCAAAGAGCACTTGTCACTTCAGTAAGTTTTATTAAACAAACTAAATAAATAATAAAATAATTCTTTTTTCTTTTCTGTCAATTAGAATGTATCACGTCAATCAGAACATTCTGATGTTTCTGATGAATCAGATGTTATAGCATCACCGACAACTGAACTAAGTTTATTTCTTTTATATTCATGCTTTCTGTTTTGAAACGATCAATTTTGTATTATTTCTAGTCATTCCACGTCCACAAACAGCTAAATCTACTCAACAATCATCAATAATTCGTTTTGCTACACATTCGGCAACTAATTTGAGTCCTGCAAGAGCATCGTCTACTCTTAGTAGTTCATCAACTACGAAACTGAAACAATTAAGTGAACGTGAACGACGTGATGCAATGCGACTTCAACGACAACTTAATTTACCTCGACAAGGTTGGCTTAATCAACATTCTTGATAAAATTAGAGGATAGTGCATGTGTGTGTTGAAAAAAAAGAATATATTGTTTTGCTTTGTTTTTATATTGATAAAAATCATCAGAAAAGATAGAAAACGAACTCTGCTGAGCAGATAGAAATTTGATTTTTGGTCATTATATCTATTAGTTTCTCATTCGAATATATTCAAATTCGATATATGATTAAGGTATTTAATTATACACTGAGATTAAAAAGAAATATTTTTTTTAAGCAATAGTTTAATTCTTTTAGAACCGCTTAGTGATATGAACACTTTAAATATAAGCAGATGGCTAATATATTTATAATATATCCATTTTAGCAAAGAACTTCATACTTTTCTAAAAAAGATTTTATGCAAATACGACACTATTAAAAGCCAAAGACAACAAACTATTATTTTTTATCATAACTCTATTAAAGTAATTCTCTCGTTTTTCTTTCCTCTCTTCTACTGACAAAAAAACAGAATTATTTCGTCTTGGCAACAATCACAATGTACATTTGTAATTTTCTACGTTCTTATTATTTTTATACTGTTCTACCCCGACAATGGCTAACAATTCACAGGTATGTCCTCCGAAACTTGATGAAATCAAATCAAAGATCATTCCGATATGCCTGTTCATCATAAAACAGTTGAAGAAGTTAAGGGTACACCCTCCCTCTTTTTTGACCATTTCTGGAACTCAAAGACGGTAAGTTCGATCGAATTGAAATTTTTACTACAGATAGAACACCTAAAATGATGAGATGCGTGTTCGAGGAAAAAATTCTCTAAGGAGGTTTTCATGGTTTTTTATGAAAAGCCTTGGTTTTCCATAGGTCACACCTTGCCAAGGACAACCCCTTTCTAACTTTGCCTGATTGGACTGAAATTTTTATCATAGATACTTTGAAGTATTCTCCAGAGGTAGTTTTGGCCGTTTACATTTCTGACTCTCTCTTTCAGATTTATAGGGTTCTGAAGATCAAAAACTTGGCTCTGGTAAAAACTTTTACGTATTTTTTTTATAAAAAGAAAAGAAAGTGATATTTTTGAAAAAGCTTAAAACTACCTCTGAGATATAATCGTAGCTATCCCCAAAAAAGTTTTCAGCCCAATCGGACAAAGTTGGAAAGGGATTGTCCTTGGCAAGGTGAGACCTATGGAAAACCAAGGTTTTTCA